AGCAAGTGCATCCTGAATTTGACAAGTGCATACTTCTTCACAAGTAATTCCTTGTCGTGGACTGGGTAGTTCCTCTCCGCAGCTTTAAAGTTAGCGAGATTTGAACGCGATAATACATCACGCCCCTTGGCATCTGCTTGCAGCAGTGCTCAGCCAGGGGTATAGTCCGAAGCGTCACAGATGACACGAATAAGACGATCGGGGTCTGGTAACGTTAGTATTGGTGCATGAAGTAGTCTGTCTTTGACCCTGTCAAAAGCCTCCCGATGATCGGCGTCCCAACACCATTCCACATCCTTTCTAAGGAGATTCGACAATGGACGTGCCATTTCCGTATAATTTGCGCTATACTGTACAAAAAGTCGGCGAGGCTAAGCCACTTGCGCAAGTCCTTTTGATTCTTTGGAACCGGCCAGGCACTATGACATTGACCTAGTCGAGATCCGCTCGAAGGCCACGCTTCCCAATGAAGCACCCTAGAAAAGGGATTTCTTCAGCGCCGAAGACGCACTTCTCTGCATTTGCATACAGCGGATTCGTGTGCATGCACTCGAACACCGCTCTAAAATAGACGATGTTGTTCTCTTCATATGGTCTCCCGTGCCTCGCACGACTGTGGACGACGATGTCGTCGAAGTATGTCTTCTCATACGCCTGGTTGGGCCGGAACAGCTGCGTCACAGGACAATTGAATGTTGCTGGTGCATTTGACAGCCCTTGGGGTATCACCAGCCACTCCTAGGGCATCCCGCTCGGAGTACTTACCGCTTGTCAGTAGGTTTTCACTCGCTCTCACGAGCAATTAATAATACCCATCGACCAAGTCGAGTGCACTGTACTTTTGTATAGCCATCACATTGTTCTGGAGAACATTCCCTCCAGGAATCGGCGTCTGTGCCGAAACAGTGAAAGCGTCTAGCTTATTGTTAGCGTGAACAATACGCCATTTGCCTTTCGGCTTCCAGATACAAAACGTGGATGTCGAATGGGGAAACTTGCTCTCAAGCACCATTCCTGCGTCGTGCTTCGCACGGAAGAAGGCGTAAATGACGTCACACGGCAGGGGCTTTTGGTGTCTTACGCAGTATTTGATTACCGGAACCCGGTCGATCTCATGACGCACACCTCGATTCAGAGGTAGGACCGACGGTTAGTCTATAGAGACGACGACTCAATATTTCTTTTCCAACGAAAAGTGCGGATCCGAGGAATTCTTCGGGATCGAAGATCCACTTTGTGCGTTACACACTTTCTTGTTGGCCTCCAAGACAGCTTCATCCAGTAGCGACGACGAGTTAAACTCCTTGTTCGTATAATGATCACCTCGGCTAATTTACCTGCCTTCAAGGCACAGCCGAATTCTCGAAGGAGATCTCGTCCAGCTCAAGAAGAGCATTCACCGCGGGAATGTCACAAGGGTGACATTACCGTCTTCCTCACCCGTCCTAACGTTGACGAGGGTGTATAGTTGTCTATCGTCTACTATCGTAGCTGTGTATCGTCTACGGTATACACACCCTGGGTCAGGGTTGACGCCCTGCATTTTGCAGATAACGTACGGCTCGCCGTCTCTTCTCAATAGAGATTCTACTTCTTTTCGAGACCAGTGGAAACACGCACTCAGCTTCGTCCTGTGTTCCATCGGAGCCTTGATGCTAACAGCAACATCCAATGAAGCGCTGTTATTTCCGCAGTCTTCGTTTAGTGGATAACGTGCCACTTCACGCGCATCTGAAGAGCGTTGCCCAAGATGCCTCGGATCTCGTCCGACTATGTCAACCTTTGGCATGCAGCAACTGCTTCGAAATGTGAGCAGCGCTCATTGCATCACGTGCCACTCCACGCACATCACTGGGTCCTCGCCCTCGATGCCTTGTACCTTGCCACACTTGGCATGCAGCAACTGCTTTGATACTTGAGCAGTGCTCAGTGGGTTGCGTGCCAATTCATGTGGGGCCCTCACCCTGGATGTCTCGGCCTTTGGCCGACCATGCCACTCTTAATATGCAGAAACTGTTTCGTTACATTTCTCAGTGGGTCACGTATTACTCCACGTTCAGCCCGGAAGCCATGCTCGGAACTCCTGCCCGATACACCTTCGGTGTTCGACAACTCGGATACTCCGATGTCCAGCACATTGACCGTCCCGGTCCACTGTTAGCGCCAATAGCGCTTCTGCTTTATAGCAGAGGTGGGTTCATGAGTCACTAAAGCTCTGCCAGGAGACATGCGCGTAGCGACCAAGGTCTTCGACCTCCAATCGATCCATGGCTCATAATGCTCCAACCATGCCATACCAAGGATGAGATCATACCTTGAATCCAAGTCTAAGGCTAAACAGCTTTTCACGCTTTCGAAGTAAAAAAACTTAACACCAAGCTTCACAGGGACCCTCGGCACCGTGACGCAACTCCCTATTGCCAAGCAAAAAGGAACGTATAACTCAACCGCGCTTGCTGCGCCTCAGCATACAGTTCGATCGTGGAGCATCGAGCATAACAACCCGACACCCTGGAATCGATCAAGATCTTCCATGGCTTCCCAAAGCCCTTCACGGTCGCTTTAAAGACCAGCAAGCCCGGCTTGCATACATGTTCCGTGTTCAAAAGCACGGAGCTCTTCGGGGCTGGGTCCTGCTGACCTCACCTCTTTGAGGCTCAACAGAACTCAATTCTTCCTCAGTAGGGCACCCTGCGCCTACTGGGTCTGCTCGTTTTCCCGCGACAAACCAGTCTTGTGAGAAGCGGGACGTCGGCTCGATGAACCTTAAGGCGCCTTGCGCAGAAGTCAACCGGTCTGACGGTGACGGGTGTCTCCACAGAAAAAACACCGTCGAGTGTTTGAACGCTGCGCTCTTCTCACTCTTTCTCACCATAGTTGAGATACATTGGCTCACGCCCGCTCGACTAGCTATAAGGGTGTGTATTTTAGCCAAGTCGTGCCGACATGGAGTTCAATTCGGCATTGAATGCCACATTCACCGCTTCTTCAAAAGAAGACGGATGCACACGGAAGACTTCCATTCTGGCCACGCCAGTGCGGAGGCTCTCCAGAAAGACGGTCACTGTGACCACCTAGGGGAAAGGATCTGCTGCTGCCCAGGCAATGAGAGGACGCAACTCTTGGACAGACCTCCAACTCCTTCTTTCCCTGTCGGGCGGCAAAAAAACGCGATCACATGCGATATGCTTGGTTTGACGGTGAGATCACCCGTAAAAACTGCAGCTTCGGCTTCGTCCAGGAGGGAAACGCCTTTTCAACCAAGATCCGCACGTCAGTGTCCATTCTCGCGCCCGACCACCGAGCTTGTAGATAGCTAGCGCCAAGCGCTGTTCTCGTTCTGGATCATGACGGATGCCATTGCCATCTCGGTCTTTTTCACTCTCCATCGTTACCCTTAAATGTCTTAACGCACACCATGAGCGGTCTGGGTCGGTGAGAGTCATCTGTCGTCGACGGTGGCGTCATGGACGCTATCGTCGCCGATATCTTTGCTCTAGGTGCTCTAGCATAGCATTTTCGAGGCTTAAAAATGCCTCTAGGCGCGCGCGTTTCGCTCCAGATCCTTGCGAATCAAGGAATTGCACGCCATCAAGGCCAAGCAGGGACCTTAGCTTTTTAAGCCCGTCCTGCATGCCCTGGGGGCAAGAGGAGAATTTCTCCTTCCTCACAGAGGATCAGTTGTAACGACTCAGGTGTAGATCGACTACAAGTGCTATCAAGTGCAGCGGGGCTGCCATGGCTCTTTCGCTTAGAGAAAGCTAAGCTATAGTCGGTGACCTTCGGTCTATACTTAGAACCAGTGCGAGTGTAGTGGAATTTATCCGTTTACACCAAGAGTACCTAACACCTTTACCCAAGACAAATATACTCTTCCATTCAAAATGAGTTTCTCTGTTTAATTTGCGGCAAAGCCGTGAACATCTAAAACAATACGTTTTCCTGATTAAAAGTAAATCCTGATTAAAAGTAAATCCTGATCAAAATGCATAAGTACTGGTAGTCTAGCCACATAGTGGCTTTTTGTTAATGTGTAGCCACACCATTGTGTGGTTGCACCATCGTGTGCAATCCACCCCTTCATACCAGGGTACGTGTAATCCCGTTACACCCTCGGCTAAGAGAGAAGGGGTAAGCAAAAATGTTTATACAACCACATCTGCGAAAACCGTGAGGCTGCTCAGCCGGTGAAAGATCCTTCCGTCCTCCTCAGCATGGCCGAGGTCTTTTGTGCTCTCAAGGCTGTTTAAATCCAGTGCCAATTCGGCCTTCATGGCACGGAAGTTTCAAGCCGTATTCAAAGTGACCTTCCGCTTTATTGGTATATATATTGGGTGTACACTAGTCACACTAGTTCGGAGACCCTATGAAAATGTCAATTTTTCGCCTCCGAATGAGTGTCTCGTGCCATTGCGGTAAGAAGCGTGCTTAACTTTTAGGCATAACCTGCTAGTTTTCGCTTCCCTTGGCGTCTTCAAATGCATCTGATACATCTGAGCACTTGTCTTGGGTACGCCTCTTTCACTGCACGCAAGTGACCATTTTCGTGCGCGGGCTCCTAGATGGGAGACCACAAGCGCGACGCCCTGTTGCTTTATTTGAACCATGGCCGAATTCATGGCCATCGTAGTTTTTTTCGGAGACGCCGCCATGATCCTGGACGCTCAACACCAGCAACCTCACGGTGGCTGTCATCTCTTCTTCGACGCCCAGTTGGAGCGCTCCCGAGAATGTATCGCCAGCGCATTGTGAATATATGCGTGCTGCTATTTTTATTTTTTAATAAACCGTGCCACGAAACTGTTCTGAATACCGATACTTCGGTACTTTTGGATATTTACAAGAAATAAATTTAATAGTGGTTGCTGATAGGATTTATCAGGTAAAACAGGTTTTGCTACTTAATTGGTCTGCTTATGAGAGGTAAAAGCTAATTTATATTTTAATTCTGAAAAACAGCAAAAGCAAACTTTTTGGAGAAGCAAACCGAAGAAGCCAGCATGCAGGACGTGAAGGAGGAGAAGGAGGAGAAGGAGTATGTTTTCATATTGTCAAAGAAACTCAGTGATTCGAGTGGCTTCCATGTGTTGCAAGATACGGATGCGTCTCCCCTTCCAGTCGCATCGGCTACCTCTTCTTCAAACGGGAGTGCAACGTTTGGCGACTCGGAAGTTGAAGACGATGACGACGCGGAATCGGTGGAGCTTGATCAGATGCCTGTGGCTATGCCTTTTCTACCAGCTCTTGATGCTTCGACTCAGATTACTATTCACGATGGCTACAGCGATGCCATTATGGACGCACAACACGCGCTAGACTCGCGTCTGTTGGCGTATTCCCAGTACCAGCAGATGGTGAGTAACAATATATACAAATGACAGAACTGACTGTTAATACGATCATAATGGTGATAGGCCCGACCAAAGCAATCGCTATTGACGCCAAGACGACCTACGGCAGAGCGATTTGTCATGACTGCCAGACCTACTGTGGTAGACCGTCCAGTGACTGTTTGCATGGGCTGGCAACGTGTGTCAAATATCGACTCGAGTAGCCGTGACTGCCTGCGCGTTTTGGAGGAAGATGGTGTGTCGTACGAGCCACATGATACTGCTTACAGCGTCAAGTATCTGGCACCCGTGCTGCCATTTGGCGACTGCCTGTTTTTATCAATGGAACAGCTCTTATTGTACACTGAGGAGTGTGAACCATTGTCGCCTGAAGGAATTCGTCATGTGGCTACTAAGTTTTTTCTAGCTCACTATAATGCAAGCACGCCTGAAGAGCAGCAGAAGATTGACAGGGCCGTTCAGAATCTTTACTTTCCAAGTTTGAAGGGTGGCTGGGGCGTCAGTTCAGTTCAAACACGACGGTTTGTGGCTCGTCGGAGCGAGAAGAAGAGACTACTAGACAAGTGTGCAGAGCTTCAAAAGCGTGGGTATTCGTGGGGTAAAGCTGCAGAAGCTGTATATACCGAAAATGCACAGCCGGTTGTAGATGCTCAGTCTTACTGCGACTACATGATGGTGGGACGAGGAGAAAACACCCACTTTCTTATTGGCCTGAACTATAGCAGCCACGGATTAATATCAGTTGACAATGATCCTGACAATTCCCGTGTGGCATGGGGCGATGACTTTGTACTTGAGGCACTGGCGACTGCGTACCAGCGTGATGTCTTTGTAGTCCTCGTTGGATGTGGTAAGATGTTTTTTCTTCCGCACCGACCGCGCGGCGAAGAAGGACTAAACAGGACTAAGATTTGCCACTCCAAAGGTCACGCACCTTGGTTTCTGCTCATGCGATTGACTGGAAGTGACCGTGGTGGAGACCATTACGAGCCAATGCTTTGTGAGCGACTGCGTGGTGATGGATCCCCGGAATTTGGCTCGATCGGAGACTAATTGATCTTGGCCTATGAATTTGAATTCTGAATTTGTGTTGCTACAGTTGCGATGTAATTTAAGAAGAATACGCGACTATATACCATTTTATAAAGCTTTTGTTGCCCAATTCGAATCAAAGCAATCACTGGATTACCATATCAGAAATCTCACAATTTGCTCAGCATTTTAAGCTATCAACAGCTGACAACGCTTTTCTCCATTTGACCACCCATGCGGTAGCAAAAAGCAATTTAGTTGCCAAGGGTCTCCAGACTCTTTTCCCATTTGTCTAAATTGCCCGGCAACTTTGACCACTCGTCAAATTCATCATCGAAGAGCGACGGAATAGATGCCGACGTCGAGCTTAAATTTGATGCTGTGCATGCCATAGTCATATAACACAATGATTAGAACCAGTAAAGCACACATAGTAGGTTACAAGCCGTACGAATGACGATTTCTTCCTCTTTCTTCTTGGAAGGCTTAAGCTTGAATAGCATAATAAGAGTCGTGTAGGCTCCAAGCGTGGCCAATACAATCTGACAAAAACATCATTAAATTACATCTAACATCACATACTTCATGTGCGTACATGGTAGTCCTTCGGCAAGTAGTGGCGGACTTTGGCCTCTAGACTACCTTCAACAGGAGCCGGCCCATGGCCCATCAGGCGACACTGCGCGGGAGTACGACGAACATGAGTGGGCGCAACTCTTTTCACGAGGCTTAACATGATACAAGAAGTTATTTTCTTATTTAATATAGTGGGGGTCTCAAACGTGAGGAGGATATTTTCCTTATAAATGATTGGTCAAAACGCACGTATGAGCTAACTACTGTATCACATTTTGCTACGCTGGCCTCTACGCGCTGTCAACAGCAACGAGTAGAGAAGTGCCTGCGTCTACGTCTTTGTTCATAGAGATTGCAGGTTTAAGAAGCGATACTTGTGGCTTGTTGCGATTTATTTCATCCTGCCAATACATAAGATTGGCGTCCAGCTGCTCCACGCAATGGTTTAGGCGTGCACAAGGCAGGTGGCTCAGAGTTAAAAAGAGTGGCCTTACTATGCCAATGATAAAGCCCGCCTGCATCTTTTCGAGTGGAATTGGCTGCTCTCGATCGTAGCCTATGCTTACGGGAAGCAGCAGCTCGCGTTCTTTGTCGCCCTGCTGGTAAAATTCTTCCTTAATCCGCTCCGTCCAATTGAGATATATGCGCAGCGACTTAGACGGATTGGATACATCCGCAGCGTGCAGAATCATTTGCAAGACCAGACGATCATCATCCGGATCAGCAACTTTCCAACCTTCTTCTGTTGCTCTGCAGTGCCATAAGAAACTTTGAGCAATTGCGTACTACGATTTGCGTTTAACATACAGACATTACCTTCGCACGAGAATATCAAGTTTGCCTAAAAACGCGGAATGTACGCTATTGTCCGTAGCTAGGACCATGTCAGTGATCAAACTGCGAACCTGAATTTTTCCACGATACAAAGGTCAACCATGTCTAAGAAGGTAAATGACATTCTCAACGTCTCACCTCGTGCTGTTCGACCTTTGTGAGACCTTGAAGGATATTGCATTGTGGTTCCTTTAGTAACTGAAAGGCCAATGCACAATGCATGTGCTCTAGAGGTGAACGATACACATATTGGACAGCCAAGTCGTCGTTTACTGTAATGTGGAAGTTATTGCTATAGCTTGTATGACCCTAAAGAGGACACAAACGGGTCAAATTTTATCAACAACGATTCATTCAGCAATACCTACAACGTCGTGTATGATTGCTGCCAAAAGAGCCGTGCACTTGATGCGGTCGGTAAATAAGCTGCCGAAGTTTCCGACAGACAGAAAGTGGTGTAAAGTTTGTGTCACGTCAGCAGCGTGTTCGGCTGCACATGCGAACAAAACGGTTTTTTAGCTGCAACAATACTAGCGTCTGCGTGTACATTTACGACAGTACAATTGTGATACGGGTGTGCATGGTACCTGCGCTCGACACTGCATAGATGAGAGTGAGAAAACTAGCAACAAGTCATGAAGTATCGGCTACAGAACGTACTGTCGTAAAAACGATTGAACGCACGTTTTAGTTGTTCGAAAATGACAACAAATTTCGTACTGCTCTAATAGCGCATTTGCAATGATGCACAATGGTTGACCAGGAACTGCTGTCGCAATCTGCGTTTAAAATAAAAAACTATCACTACTAGTCCATAGATGTGCGCGGAAGTCATCAACAGCGTACCGCAAAGACATCAAAATTCCAAGTATCAATTTTGGCGATTTCGCTCTGCACAGCAAGAACAACGGATGGATTTGTGATTTCGGGGCAAACCTCGAGAGAACAACGACGCCGCTGCTCTTCTTTTTGCTTCATAACACGTGCTACTGCTATGCTCCACCGTTGCGCAACAGTCTCTTTATCACCGCTGTTGCTACCGTTTTCACCATCTAGATGATCCGACTGATACATTGCTAGCAGACAGCGTCGCAACATGCTCGTCCGACGCAGCGCACCACGAAAGGTTTTTACACTTTCCGATTCATGCAAGAAGTTTTGAATGAAAAAATGTTGCATGCTTTCGTCGAACACGTTCGAGTGAGTATCAAACAACTTCTGCATTGTGTTTTCAACACTTCGTTCATCCCATGTTGAGGTCACGGTTTCAAGTGCACGTGAAAAACCATACAAAATCTGGTCAAGCTCTACACGTTGCACCGCAGCCTCGCCATGCTCACTGTCGCATGCAAGCTGATGGAATTTGCGAAGCAGTGCTAATGCGTACATAATTGACTCGTCACTTGTATGATCATTCGAAGCCTCTGAGGCAGTTGTTGTACATCGTGATGACGCATGCTCAATCCTGCTAGGAAAACGGCTGTTTTTATCACATTTTTCTTCAACTTGTTCAGCTTCGACTTCTGTTTCGACTACTGAAGTGCCAACAAGGCGCGGAGATGACTGAGATATTCTTAAACAAGCATTTTGCAGCAATGCCAATTCCTCGGGTATCTCTGTTGCGCTACTTTGCACGGTACGTGACATTGGCAACATTGATGAGCTAGCAGAAAGGACAGCAGCGTCACCTCCAGTAATCGTCTCAAGAGCAGACGTCGATGTTGCACGTAAAGTGTTGCCTGCATTCATGTTTAATCTGGAGCGTGCCAAATCTGCAATCGAGTGCAGCAGCATTTGGCGTTTGTGTTCCGTGACCTCGACCCCCATATGACGGAATCAAGCCAACAGTGCGTAATTTCGTGGCTGCTCGTCAAGCGACCCGTCGGACCAAAGTTTTTTTACAGTAACTTTAAAATCCTTTGCAGTGAAGACCGTGTCGCAACAACTCGACGTTTGCCGCAATCCTGTTTATTTGTCACAGCGATCAGTTGCACACGTAACCTATCGACGCGAAGATTCCTCTTGTTTCAAGATTGTTGGTTTTTTCTGTTCGGGCCTGCTAAACCTGTGTTTCTTATGTCTATTTTTAATTCTACAAGGAGTTGAAGCAATACGTAAATTAAAAACTGCCGTTATGGAAGCAGGGAGAAGAAGTGGCAGACAGCGGCAAAGTTCCTACGAACCGTTAGGACCTATTCCTGGCACGATGGGTTACTGCAATTTCATCGTACTATATTCCACTATGCTGCTGGAACCTTCTACAAAGGTTCAGACCTATATGAAGTACCACGCACTTCCTACCTTGCCAAAGTGAAATACGACAAGAACACAGAAATGTATACACATCGGTGACAAAAGTGCCACTTACTCGAATCAGTGATTGGCGATCCTTTATTTTCGAATAATGAAGCGACGGAGACAAAGCAACCCGAATAAACGGTCAACACACACTGCAATACTCGCAGAAACACACGACAAATGAGCATCACCCCACTTTCGAATGTAGTCGTGCCCGTTTTCGACCCACTGACCAATCATGATCTATGTCTTCGCATTCTAGATAATGTGTCGGTTCGTAGTTCTTAAGCGTGGTGAGCGGCCTTGGCACGAAGAGCAGCGTAGTAAGCTTTCATTTCTTCACGCTTCTGTAGAGCACGGCGGTGCGTGCCAAGCTGCGCAATCAATATTTTGAAGGCATAACATACTGTCAGTAAACATAATACTCGATAAAACTGCCATTTCTGTTACAGAAACACTACTAGAGTGGCTGACAACGTACGCGTTTCTTAGAAAACTTGTAAATACGTTTCTCTGCAGATGAACCACCGCTCTTGATCATGTCGAGAATACGTTTTTCGTATGGCATCAATCCGACCACTTCACGTACAATATCACGCACGAGTTTCGTCTTCTTGCCGGCGCGCTGTGGAAATTATTACATTTTGAAACAATTAGTATCTTTCAGCCGCAAAGGGCTGCCAAAATGCAGGCACTCAAATCTATAACGCACTTACGCCCTTGCGGGAAGCGGGGCGAGGAGCCACCTGCTTCTTGTTTACAGGAAACCCCTTGTTCAAACCCACAGCAATTCCAGTGGATGACATGTTGATGTTTTGCTTCCGAAAGACTAAAAGAACCGAACTAAATGCTTCCGCATCAGCTGGGGGATTGGTTGGTCGCTGCTTGGACGGTTCGATTGACCGGTTCGGATTGTAGACCTGCCAAAAAAACTTATGGGGTGGATTTATGTCATAAAACCCGTTTTTTAAATACGATATACAATTTTAAATTTAAAACCAGACTATTTCCACCCTGTGAGCTATAATTACTTGAGTTTTAACATTTAAGAGAATAGGACTCCATATCCGCATAGCTTGCCGCAAGTCAAAAAACAAATACATGTTCATTGTGAGGTTTTAAATCCCATACATTGATCATAGAGTGTAATAAATTTAGTGCCACACTTGATACAGCAAAACGAACAAGATGTGTATCGACATTGGATAACCTCGGCTTCTCCTAAGTAATGTGTGCGATCCCGACTATTGTGCGCTTGCTTACGCAGACTCTTTACGTGACGGGGTTCGCGTTCCCTGGTAGAAGTGTGTGGGTCGGGTCACATATGATGGTGTGACCACACAACGGTGTGGATACACTTGAACATGAAGTCAGTACGTGGCTGGACTGCCAGTAGTTATACATTTAATTAGGTTTTGCTTAAATCTATAGATATAGGCGGCTTTGCCGCAAATAAAACCGAGAAATACAGCTTACGTTTCAAACGAGAATCAATTAGCCTTGGGTTAAGATTGTAATTACTCTTGAAATAAGCGAATTGCGATCCGCTACACTCATACTGGTTCTAAGTGTAGAACGAGGGTCACCGACCTTAACCAAGAAAGAACTACGGCAGCCTCGCTGCAGGGCTTGGAATAAAGAGCGCAAGCTCTTTGGAAATGGCCAGTTCTTGTAGCACTAAATCCGGGTGGAGTGCTAAGAGTGTAACGAAGTTACACATACCCTGGTAACAGGTGTGTGTGTCACACCAGATGGGCATGGTGTGACCA